CCTGCCCCGCAGAGCTACTGAAGCCGTTCCCTCTCTCACGGAGGCTGGTTGGAAGCAGACTTACTGTTTTCCTAACCAGCACCTGCTGATCAGTTATTCCAAACACGATGCACAGCTACGCACCCCTCGGAACTGGGGTGTGAACTCACAGATGCCCTAAACACAAGTCCCGAAGGTACTTGGAAGTTGCTTTTTATTCAGCTTCAAGTCCTGGCAGGTTTAAAACCTCAGCCTTGGGGGGTCACAGAGAGAAACACACTCTCAAAACCAACCCTGGGTTCACGACACAGTGGTGAAAGGTTTGCCTTCTTCCCATTTGTGCTGAAACCCTCACCACGTTGTTTTCCCTCAGGAGCAAGGACACACTTCCCCCTGCTTTGGGGCGAGCACTCACCCTCATCAACAGCATGTGCGATGATGACATACACGCCATTGTTCACGTGTGGGGACTCTCGGTCCAGCCGCTGCCTGGTGACAACCGCTCCCGAGCGCTCGTCCACGGTGACCCAGCTTGCAGGATCGTGAGCCAGCTCATACCTCAAGGAAGGAGACGCGTGACATCTTTAAAACTGCAGCTATGTCAGAAGTCAACTCCCGTACCTCACGCCGACACCAGCCCTATCACAAGCCACGTGGGGATTCTGAGGACCATGACGTGGGGGCTGGGTCAGCACTCGCTGCGGATTGAGTGTGGGGTCCGCCTCAGGGAAAAGTCGATCCCTGCTAAGCAGCACCTCCGCCTCCTCCCACCCGCCCCTGCAGCCACCATCTGCTTTCTCTGTTTACGATTTGCTCCCTGATGTGGACTGTGGCGAGCACCTCCTCTAAGGGGAATCACGCAGCGTTTGTCTTTTCGTGACTGGCTTATGTCACTTACGTCGTCGTCAATTATTCACAAAATGTGGAAGCTGTCTACGTGTCCATCAGGCAACAGGTGAGTGGATAAGTGAAATGTCTATCCGTGCAGTGGAAACAGGTGAGGCAAAAGCAGGTCTACAGTTGTTCATACGGAAAGTGAGACAATAATTAATAAGTAATAACCATGCAAGAATAAACTCTGTTTGTGTACTCACAACCGTAAGCCTGCTTTTGCCCCACTCTGCATTGTTCAACCTTCAAAAGAAAGGAGACCTGCCACATGCTGCATCATGGGCAACCCGAGGGCATCAGGCACGGTCACATAAGCCAATCACAAAAGGGCAAGCTCGGGGGGGTCGTCAGATTCGTGGAAACAGAGTGGAGTGGTGGGGGCAGGGGCTGGAGGGATGGTGGGGAGAGAATGGGGGTTATTTTTAATGGGGACAGCGTTCCAGTTTTACAAGGTGAGAGGAGTTCTGGGATGGGTGTGGTGATGGTCACACAACACTGTGAATGTGCTCAATGCCACTGAACTGTCACCGGACAACAGTTGAAATGGTAAACCTTATGTCACATACATTTTACCACAGTTTCTAAAAAACAACACTGTTGTCCAGAAGCCAGAGGCCAGCCAATTCACACCCTTTGGTAAAGAGGGGGACAGAAATACAGGAGCAATTATTCTAAAATGAGAAAAAAAACTATAAGAGTATATTCTAGACCTGGCCAGCATGGCTCAGTGGTAGAGTGTCCGCCTGCGTACTGGTTTCGATTCCTGGTCAAGGGCACGTACCTGGGTTGCAGGTTCGTTCCCAGGCCCCAGTCACGGCAAGTGCAGGAGGCAACCAGTCAGTTGTGTCTCACATCGATGTTTCCCTCCCTCTCTCCTTCCTACTCCCCCCTCCCGCCCCCGTCTCTAAAAATCCTTCCCTCCCACTCTCTCTAAAAATCCATGGAAAGATGCTCAGGTGAGCAACAACAGAAAAGAGTATATTCTAGGTGCGAAGGGAATGTGCAAGTGAGCTCCCCCTGGTGGGTCAGAGAAAGCTGTGGAAGGATGGAGGCATGGATCCTGGGCCAGGGACCTTCTGGGGGCTTCTGGAATTTTCATAACAGACAGTCACCCCAGCATCGCACCAGAGAAACTGGTTTTCCGACAGGACTGTTCCCAGCTTCAACAGCCACCTTTCTCCTTCCTCTTCTCACCTTATCTGGCTGCCGCTTCCGTCAGGGTCTGTAGCGTTAAACCTTCCCAGGCGCGTCCCGGGCCTGGCGCCTTCGACCTCGCTGACCACGAAGCTCCTGGGGTGGAAGACTGGCGGGTCATTGGCGTCTGTCACCTGCACCAGCACCATGGCGCTGGCTGCAGCCTTCCTCCTGGGCTTCTGTAGTTCGCCGACCTCGCAGGGGACCAGCAGCTCCTCGTTTTCCACGGCAATGACCAGGCTGGACGCGGGATGCGTTTCGTAATCCAAAGCCTGCAGCCAGCAGAGAGGGTCTCGTTAGCTAGCACCTGCTGCTCCTGGCTCAGCCAGGGGCCCTGGCAAGCTCTGGCTCTGCAGGCCACTTACTATTTACCTTGTCTTTGATAATGATCAAGAAAGTCGTCAGCTCACTGTCAGATCATTTATGCAGTTCCTCCCCCGCCCCATGCTGGCTGGAAAGAGCCACCATCCGTCAGTGGGTAATGAAAAATACAACAAAAACTGTAACCTAATGAAACATTAATGTGACAACCCTGTTGCAAAATCAATCAGCGGGCCTGGAGGAAATATACATATTAATGACCATAGTTATTCGGGGCACAAGGTGCTCAGTGACTTACAGGACTGAGAGGCTGGGCTAAGTAGGCAGTCCAGCCCGGGCGTGTGGTGTCTCATCCGGGAGCCTGTCACACTGACAGCAGGAGGCCCCACCCAGCCTGACCCCCGGGGGCTCACCTGCCCTGCGCCAGAGGTGCTGGTCACGCTGAGGTCCAGCTGAGAGCGATTCAGACTAAAGGCCTGGAGCCAGACTGCCCCAGCAGAACCCTCCTCTAGCCGTGTGACTTCCCAAGAATGGCCCAACCTCTCTGGGCTCTGGTGTCCTTGTCAGTAGAGACAGTGACACTTCACTGCAGGGCCAGCCCTCTGTTAGGCACAGCAGGCCGCGTGGCAGTGCCTCCGACGCTCTCAGGGGCTTGAGGAAATGTTCTTATTCATTTAGACTCAGAAGGAAACACATGAACTCAGGGCTCGAGAAAATGTTTCAGATATTTTTACCAGAAAGAAAACATTTAAGGCCTGTGTAAGTCTATTAAATTTTGCCTAAAAATATTAAATGTCGAAGTCTTAACGTTTTATCAAAAATAACTTTTAATATGGATATTAATTTGGCTGGAGGAGCCAGGAAGGCAAAAGCCCACTTCAGAAGGCCTGGGCCAGCCCGGCCCCCCGCTGGGTGCTTCGAGGGCTCCAGACACTGAGTGGTCCCGAGACCAGCTCCCACTCCGCACCCTCGGCCCCCGGCCCGTGTGTGTTCTGTGCAGCTTTACCTTGATAACATTTAGTATCCCTTCGTTGGTCTCAGGGTCAGTCGAAATGTCAAAATGTCCCCCTTCGTTGCCATTGGATATGTTGAACTTTGCCCTCCAAGCTGACGTGAACGGCGAGTCTTCGTCCTGGACCGGGAGACGCAGCACGTCCGGGCTGACTCGGCCTTCGGGAACCTGAATCTTGTACTGAGAGAGGCAGTCACCATTTCCATGTCGTGGAGGTGAAGAAACACCATTGAAAAAGAAAGCAGGAAAGGAGATGTCAGCCTCACGCTACCATCTGGATGTTTCTCTTGCTGTTGAACTTAACCTCAAGGGGTTTGAAACTGCCTGATGCAGCCAAAGAGCGTGGATAACAAGCAGCTCGCCCTCCTCCCTGTGCCTGGTCCTCCTTCCGATGCAGCGAAGGGGCTTTGCAAGTGCACGCTCCTCAGCCCAGCGCACGCACCACTTGTCTAAGAATTTTTAAAATGACAACACATCCCAGTCTATGCTGCCCCCAAATCCTGGCTCTCTCCTAAAACAGAACTCCTTGGTTACGTTTTCTAACGCAGACCTCGGAGTAATTGCTGTTTAACACTTCCGGGACAAGAAACTGCTGCAGGCACGCCCACCCAATGCCAGGGTTTGTTGCTGCAGCCTCACTTTTGAAAGCACAGCTTCCTCCAAGCCAGAGAAGAACTTGGAAGCAAGGCTCACACGTGAGCAATACGATTTTTCCGTTTTCCTGTACGATTTGGTGAGGTGCTTTCATTAAAAACATGTCAGCCCTAGTTCATACAATTTTTCAATTTTTTTAAGTGGCATGTGTTTAAAGTTAATTTGTAGCATTTTTTCTGTACCAGATTCTGTTTTAGGTGCCATGAGCAAGATGAACAAAAACTCCATCCCCAGGAAATGGATGATTGGGGGAGAGGGGTTCCTTGGGGGTGCAAGTGGGGGCTGGGGGAGAGGCCAGAAGATAGAGATACAATGGATATTTTCCTTTAAAAATTCATATGGAAGAGTAAGAAATGGGGATGAAAGGCAAGCAGATCCTGGTAGTTATCACTTCTCTCCTGGCGTCCTGTCTGCAGTGGTGCTGCATTTCCACAGGGCACAGCCTGGGGACTGTGTCGCTTGTGACATTCTACAGGGAGCACCAGTGATAAACCAGGTGACTGAGGCCGGGCTTAGCACACCTGCCCGTCTTCCTTCTACAGCCTGAACACGTGGGGAAAGCCCAGGTTTAGACTTCTCACCGGGGGCAGTTCTCCCCTTCAGGGGACGGGTGACAATAGCTGCAGACATTTTTGGTTCCCATGACTTGGGGGGGACTGCTGGCATCTAGTGGGTAGAGGGCAGGGTTGCTGCTAAACATCCTACAATACACTGGGCAGCCTCCTCCCCGCAATGAAAACTTCCCACCCCCAAAAGTCAATAGTGTGGAGCTTGGGAAACCACGGGGTACAGTGAGTGTGGCATCTCTAACCTCCCTGGAGGCCTCGGTGTCTGCATGTGTGCAAAAGAAATCACGGGTAGTTCCAGCAATTAAGAATGAAATTATGCACGAAAAAGTTCTGAGCAGTTTCTCACACAAAGTAGTAAAACATGCCAGTTCATTTGACTAAATCAAACGAGTCTCTAATCACGTGGTCACTTCTCGACTCTAGTTTCCGTTACTTTGGAAAATTACAGGATGCAGGGCGATATGGAGACACCCTCAGGGACTGAGCCTAGGACTCGGGCTGTCATGTCGGGACTGGGACCGGGGGCAGCCGGGTCTTACGTTCTCCTGGATGAACGTGGGCCTGTGGTTGTTGCCTTCCTGCACGCTGATGTGAACCGTGGCCGTGGCCGACAGCGGTGGCTCCCCGCAGTCCCTCGCTCTGATTAGCAGTGTGAACCGAGGAGCAGTCTATATGGGGAGGAAAGGAAAGTCAAGCTCCGATGCAGGAAAGGGGAAGGATGTCAATAAAGGAACATCCCATTTTAGAATTTCAGTAGCAAGCCAGACAGAGGGTTTCCCAGTGCCACAACAACCCTGTGCCCAAGGTCAGAGACACAGCCATTTCATTGTTTTAAAATAAAATCCACATAACCTCATAATCTAAGCATCCCAAGAGTCGGATTTCTCCACTATCACGGTCGATCTCGAAGCCACTTTCCTTCAGTAACGGCTTTTGTGAAACAAGGAAGTAAAGGACTCGAGAATTTGGAGTATTTTCTTCATCCAAATCAACCGTTAACAGCTGAAGAACAGGCTGACCTGGAAGAATTTTTAAATTGTTACTATTGGCCAAAGGCAGCCTATCGGACCTGTAGGAAGGTGGCACTTTGCTGACTGGCATTGGGGCATGCACCAGAATAGCTGAAATATTTGCATATAAAATCAAACTGTAGGTGGAGCAGACAAAACAAAAAGTGGTATTCACATCATCATATGACCATGATTACAAATGCAGAAGACTTAAAGGGCAGAATTGATAGATAAGCTTTTAACTGCATGGATACAAAAGCTTCAGACAAAATTTAAAAAGAATGATAAACCAGAAGGACATATTTGAAATATACATGACAGATATATACATTCTTTAAAAAAAAAAAAATTATTGATTCCAGAGAGGAAGGGAGAGAACGAGAGAGAAAGAAACATCAAAGATCCGAGAAAATCATTGATCGGCTGCCTCCTGCATACCCCACACTAGGGATCAAGCCCACAACCCGAGCATGTGCCCTGACCAGGAATTGAATCTCAAATCCTGACCTCCTGGTTCATAGATCAATGCTCAACCACTGAACCATGCCAGCTGGGCAACATAGACATTCTTAAAACAGAATGAGGAGGTTAAAATCAAGAAGAAAAATGAGAAGCACACTAATGGAAATGGACAAAGAAAGGAACAAGCAAGGGGAAGAAGAAATGGAAAGAACCAAGAAGCTTACAAGCATGCAAGCACCTAATATGAACCATCCACTCCCATAGATGGTGTGGAGAAGTAAATTGGAACACAAACTGTGGGTGCATTTCCCACCACGTGAGAAATTATGGTGACATTCAGGAACTCACTGCCCAGCTCTGTCTTTCTCCCTCGTTGCATTTGGCTTTATTTTAGACTAGTACAGATTAGTGCACATTAAAAAGAAATTAATTAGAAGAAATATTTTAGTATCGCTATGCACCCTCTCTCTATGATAGAAGTCTCAACCAAATTCACAACCAACAATGACAGGTCGAAACATGCATACGATTGGCACCAGCGAGAGTTTTATATGTTTCACGAATGTGCAAGTCAACTTAGCCTTTTATAGGTATAGAAGAAACTTGCTTAATTCGACCTGCTTTCTGATGTAGCTAAACTTTCTCCAGCCCAGTGAAGCACCCCGACTTCTCTTTCAGGTAATTGTCAGCAACACAGTAGTAAATACCAACATGAAGCAGATTATTATTGTAGTTCACCCAGGAAGAACAAAGGGTAAAATATTTAACTGCAGCAGTGTTTGACTACATTCTGTGCAGTGAGAAAACCTGAAGTCATTTTCAGTGGCCACCATGTCTTACTTCTTTTCAGTTGGGTTAAGTTTCTAAACTTTCTAAATCTCCGTTTTGTGGCTAATGAAAAGAAACTTAGGATTCTACTGAGTCTCTTATCTACCTACTCCAAGACTTTTGTGAGGATCAAATGAGATGAGGCACGGGAAAACACTTCACACACATTTGGTTAAAGTGTAAAATGTTTGCAACTGGCTATAAAGCAAGTTGTGCTCCTGGGCTGAAGAAACTCAAGGAGGCTAGTCACTAGGGAGAGGAAGCTGGGTGTTGCTACATGATGTCATTACCCGGTACCCACAGCAACCGTTTCTGGGCTGGGCTAGGCTGTGGGCCGCATTTTGCATCATGGGGTTTTGGCAGTGTTGGCTGCGATTTGGTTGGGTGTCGCTCCAGGGTGGTGGCAGGGAAGCCAAGTATTGGTTTGTCGGTGCCAGGCCATGGTGCTGTTTATTTTTAAATGGCCAATGTGCATCATGGCAGCTCCTGTGTTGAGCATCTACCCCCTGGTCATCAGTGAGCATCATAGTTACTGGTTGGATGGACACTTAGCCTTTTATATATATTCTAGAGGCCCGGTACATGAATTCGTGCACAGGTGGTGTCCCTCAGGGTGGCCTGGGGAGATCAGGACCCAGCTCGTGCCCCCAGCCTTGCAGCCCCAGCTCACGTCCCCAGCCTTGCAGCTCCACAACCTCACTTTGCACCTCACCTTGGCCTGGTGCTGCCCCCTCACCTGCTCCACCATCCTGCCTGCAGGGCAATCTATTGGGGCCAGGCCCTCCATCCAGCTCCCTCAGTGCCTGTGAGCCAGGCGGTGGCCCTGCTGCTGCCACTGGTCGCCATCTGCAGGCCGATCAGTGGGGCAATTGGGCCCCGCTCATACCTGCCTTGGCCTGGCGCTGCCCACTCACCTGCTCCACCATTCCACTGCAGTCCCACTCTCATTGGGGCCCATCGGTGCCAGCAGCACCTCCACTGCTGCACACTGCCAGTGCCACTTTGCCAACACCTGCCATGTTCCGTGCCACCCCTTGGTGGTCAGCGTATGTCATAGCGAGCAGTTGAACTCCCAGTCTCCAAACTCCCAGTTTCCAGGCCGAATGACGGCCCGAGGGGGCAATTTCCATATTAGACTCTTATTATATAGGATATTGGTGTTTACATATTGACTCTGCCAGAGGACTCAACATTGCATTGCCAACAAAAACAGGCTGCAGACCTGAAGCATTCGCTCTGATCCAGAGCCTGGGCCCTCTGCATGTGGCCAGTGAACTGCCTCCTTGCAGACAACTGCGAGCAAGTGCCCCAAGTGTCAGCAGGAGAACCTTCAGGGGACAGAAAGGGCAGCCCACAGCCCAGCACACACACCTGCTGCGTGGCTCTCTCTCACACTGACACTGAATTCATTCTTGGGGAACTGGGGTGCATGGTCATTCACATCAGTGATCCTGATGTTGAAGATCAAGGAGTTGTCCACGTACTCTCCTGTCAAACGGTTCACAACATCGAAGTAAACCTGGGAAGCAGAGAACCTTGTTAATGTGGAAGAACCCCTGGCTTGGTGATGCTAATCACATTACTGCCAGAATCACAATGGAGAAAGGAGACATCAGGGATAATTCCTGCATGTGGAAAGGGCTTTAGCCTTGTGTTGTAGCTGGAAGACTGCCATCCTCGGAGAAACAAACCATAGTGCATTGACGTGGTGGATTGGCATATGGCTATTTAAAATCACACATGCAAGGTCTATGCTCTTAGACACAAATGAGCAAGAAGAAACATCCTATGTGCCAAACACATATAACAGCACTTCTATGCAGAGATCGTAAGTGGGTCAAGATAACTGTTGGGATGAAGATCAACAAAAAGTTATTTCAAGGAATATGAAAGGATGGATTTTTTTTTTTTTAGTGTATTTGCATCCTATGAAATTGAGCATGTTTTGATATGAATAGATAGGATTTCTGCACAGAAAACAAAAGACCTTTTCCCTTTTCAACTCCATCTTAAATCTTACAGAAGTTCTAACTTGGTGTCACTGCTTCTCTAACAAAAAGTTACGCACCCCCCCCCCCATCCCACACCCAGATCCTGCCACCTCCCAAACACAACTGGGAAGTGTTGAGGCTGGTTCGGGTGACTCCTTCACTGTCCGGTGCCATGAGAAAGGTCTTTTTGCCACTGCATTGGGCTTACTTAGTGTTTTTAGCACCTGTCATTGTGGACAGGCAATGATCAGCATTCCTCCACCAAGGCAGGTGGTTGAGCCCAAACACTCAGTTTATATAGTGCTCCCCTATACACTTGGCTCTCCCACCTTTTTATCTTTATTGTTGAGAGTATTATAGATGTTTCCCCCTTCTTCCCCTCATTGCCCCCATCACCTAGATCCTGCCCCACCCAATGCTTTCACCATCTTATTATCTATGTCCATAGGTTATGCATATATACATATGAGTTATTTGGTGGATCTTTTCCCACCACCTATCCCCATTTCCTTCTGAGATTCTTCAGTCTGTTCCATGTTTCCATGCATCTGGTTCTATTTTATTCATCAGTTTCTTTTGTCCATTAGATTCCTTGTTCATTTACTTTAATTTTTAGATTCAATTGTGGATACGTATTTATTGCCTTTTTCTTTTTTTCTTCTTCTGCTTAAAGAAGACCCTTTAACATTTCTTGTAATACTGGTTTGCAGGTGATGAACTCCTTTAGCTTTTTCTTGTCTGTGAAGCTCTTTATCTGACCTTCAAATCTAAATCCCCAGCCATGGGCAGGGTCCAATGGCTAAGAGGCCTGTGTTCAGAGAGGAAGACTTGGTTGTAGGTTCTTGCTATTCATCACTTTGAATATTTCTTGCTACTCCCTTCTGGCCTGCAAAGTTCCTGCTTAGCAATCAACTGACAGTCATATGGGTGCTCCCTTATAGGTAACCTTTGTCATTTTAATTATGATGTGTCTTGGTGTGGACCTCTTTTGGTTCCTGTTGTTTGAGACTCTCTGAAGTTCCTGGACTTGTATGTCTATTTCTTTCACCAGGAAAGGGAAGCTTTCTGTCATTATTTTTTTTCAAATAGGTTTTAAACTTCTTGCTCCCTCTCTTCTCCTTCCCGCACCTCTGTGATGGGAATGTTGGTACGCTTGAAGTCCCCCACTGTCTTAATTTTTTTTTCTTTTTTTAAATTCTTTTTTATTTTTGCTGTTCTGATTCAGTGTTTTTTGCTTCCTCATATTCCAAATCGCTGATATGATTCTTGGCATCCTCTACTCTACTACTGATTCCTTGTAAATTATTCTTCATTTCAGTTAGTGTATGCTTCCTTTCTGACTGGTCCTTCTTTATGTCATTGATGTTCTAAATTCCTTGCAGTTGTCACTAAGTTCCTTGATCATCCTCATAACCATTTTGAACTCTATCTTGGTAGTTTGCTTGCTTCTTTTTCATTTAGTTTTTTCTGCAGATTTCTTCTGTTCTTTCATTTGTGACGTTTCTTTGTCTCTGCATTTTGGCCATTTCACTGTGTTTGTTTCTATGTATTAAGTAGAGCTGCCTATGTCTCCTGGAATTGATAGAGTGGCCTTATGTAGTAGGTGTCCTGTGGGGCCAGTGGCTCAGCTCCCCAGTTACCTGAGCTGGGCACTCTAAGGGCACCCCGGGGTGGCCTGTTGTAGTTGAGCCTTGCTTGCTGTTGGCATCACTTGGAAGGATTGACCCCCCAGGCCAATCATATATGTGGACAACCTGTGAGTACAGCCTAGCTACTATGCAGGAGTCGCCCCTGTGGTGCAGGACTTGCTTCAGTGGGGCTTTGGTGCTCACCGAGTCTGGCCCTTGAGTGTGTCACTCCTAGATGTGGCAGGATTGTAACTTGGCATGGTCTAAAGCTGATCACCATGTCCCCTGGCTCTGAGGCCCCCCAGGAGTTGCAAAGTCAGCTACTTCCTGTGCCCTGCCTGGGGCCACCCAGCACAAGCTACAGAGTGATCTGCAGATGGCTGCTATTTGTGTTGGGCTTGGTGGTGCCCAGGAGAGGCCAAACTGTGGACCAAGGCAGGCTGCTGCTAGTGCTGAGCCTGGGGCCTTCTCTTGAGAGATACAGGGCATTCTGAGGCCAGCTGCTGCTTGTTTGAGAGATTTTAGAAAAGTCTGAAGCCTGAGCCAGGACAGGCTATTCATATGGAAAGACCACTGCACACAGCTTGAGTGGGGCTGCAAATTGGGTGGTGCACGGCTTCAGGAAGTTACCAGGGTGGGGCACACACTGTGGGCCAGGTTGATGGGAACTCAGACATGGTGCCCGCCAGTCAGCATTGTGGTGTGGGAGGTCTCTGCATAGGAACAGTGACCTCTGCAGCATTTTTGTTTGGGAGAAAGCTGCCTCTTAGTTCTTTGCTCTTATGCCAGACAATTTAGTTCCTCCCCATATATCCCTGGTTCCTTTCAAGCTGCTGGAGCTCAGAGGGAGTGAGTCCAAGTAAGTCTCTGTGCTGGCCCTTTAAGAGGAACAACTGGGACTTCAGTAGCCTCTGTGTCACTCAGCCTCAATTCCCACCTGAAGTTATAGGAACTTCTCTTCCCAGCACTGAATCCCTGGGTGGAGGGGCCAGGTATGGGGCTGGGACACCGTGCTCCTCACGTAAACCTTTGTAGACAAGATATCCCTCCTAATTAAGAAAAGGACATAGGTGGGTGTTGGGCCAGCCTGTTCTGCATCTCTGTCCTTCCTACCAGTCTCATTATGCTTTCTTCTTTAATTCTCTAGTTGTAGGATTTCCGGTAAGCCAAATTTCATGCGGTTCTGAATGATGGTTGTTCTGTGCTTTAGTTGTAATTTTGATGTGGTTGTGGGAATGTGTGAGTACTGCGTTTATGGACACTGCCACCTTGACCAGAAGTCTCTCAGCTGTCCCACTTCTGAAGGTTGGCACCTTCCTTGTCAGCCACGTCACATCTTCTAACCCCTGTGTGTTCATTTCCTATGACTGCTGGAACAATGGGCTACAAACTGCGTGGCTTACAACAAAAACTCAATCTTTCACAGAACTGAATTGAGGTGTGGGCGGGGCTGGTTCCTGCTGGAGGCTCTGAGGGAGAATCTGTCTCCCGGTTTGTGGTGGTTGCCAGCAGTCCTTGGTCCACAGATGCATCACTGCAGCCTCTGTGCCGAGATTTACATGGCTTTTCCCCATGTTGTCCTCTGTGTCCAAATCTCCCTCCTCTCATGAGGATGCCAGTCACTGGGTTAGGACCCACACACAACAGTAACCCAGAATGATCTCGTCTTAATTTATTTACATCTATGAAGAATCTATATCCAAGTAAGCTTACATTTACAGTACCAGGGATCAGGGCCTTAACCCATCTTTTTGGAAGACACAGTTCAACCCACAACACCCTGGAAGGCAGAGCCTACATTTTTCTGTGTACATTTATTCATCCAACATGATTAACTGAGGACCTACTATGTACAGGGCCCTCTTCTTGATGCTGGGGTCATGGCAATGAACAAGACAGGGTCTTGCCGTTCTTAGAACCTATATTCTAATGGAGATTGACCTTCAAAAGGCACTCAAACACAGAAGTACACATTCATTGAATGCAGAGAATTGGGGGGAAAAACCAGAGTAGTGTGACAGCCATGGGGGCTGGGGGGTGGGGAGGGGCACACCTCATAGTTCCCACCTGTATCTTCCTTCCTGCAGGTTTGCAGTCAAATAAGAGGACCAACTAGCCAACTGTTGCAGAAAGCCCTGTGAAAGGACACCTGTGCGCAGTGCTTTGGGGATGGGTAAATGGGTTTAATGAAGCTGGGGAGGTGCAAGCACAGGGCCTGGAAATCTCAGTGGGAAGAACCATGGGGATGTCTGTCGCTTCCCCACATTTTCCCTTTCTGACCTAAATGGAGCCTGGGACCCTCTGCGACATGCCAAGCTTTTCCATCTGGACTTCAAGTTTCAGAAAACAACCCTTAAGACTTCACTGAGGATGTTAAAAACAAACAACACCCAGAAAAGAAAAACCACGGGCACTAAATGTTTGCTCTGCCCTTGCACAGGTCACTGTGATTGTCATGTTCTAGGTCCTCCGCCCTCGGTGTCTAGACACATCTCCTGGAGAGAGCCTACTGGTCCAGCGTCTGCATTTAACCAGCCCCCTGGGTGCTCTGCACTCATTAAAGACCAGAACGCACCGTCCCAGGGTCTCCAGTGACCTCCGTTTTCCTTCTCTTACCAGACTCTGCAGGTTCTGTGGATGGGACAGGGTTTATGTGGATGGGACAGGGTTTGCGTGGAGTCGTTTTTGCATGTCCTTCAGAATTTGGGGATACTTTCTGCTTCTTTATAAGTTAGAGATTCAGAACCTGTCAGTGAGTTAAGGCAATATATTTTCGTATGTATATAAAAATGTTGAGGTCACTGAAGAAAAGCTACTTAAATCTCTTCTCTCTGATGTTAACACCTTCCCACCCAGAAGGAGTTAACGTATAGCCGGGCAGGCAGAGGACCAAGTCTGGTTTCTAGCAGAAGGCAAAACAGAACAAAAGCCAACTTGCTATGATTCTCCCAGAAGTTTAGGCAGCAATGTGATCCACACCCCTGTGCTTCAGGCATTTCCCTTTCCCATTGCCTTTCCTGGTTTAGAACCTGAATTTCAAGTCCACAGTGCACAATGGACCATGGTGTTGGGGTGGCGAGAGCATAAAGAGCACCTGGATTCCCACTAAGAAACTGTCACCGGGGGTGCAGCTGCTCACTCATCAGTTATTAGGCAACCCAGGGGTCTGTCTATACCTCTCTCCATAGATTTCAACTGTGACTCTTCAGAGGATAAATTCGCCCATTTAATGCTGTGAAATCCTGATCTGTTGGGATACTGGTCAGTAAAAGGCAGGAGGGTAGCAGTTCACATAGACGCAGAAATCGTTACAAAGCCAATGTCCAGACTAAAGATTACAACACTCACCTCTGTGTTCCATGCACACTTTTAAAGCTCTCCAAGATGCATAATAACACATCCACCTCCCATAACCTGACACACAGCTCAGATAATGCTACCACATACACAATTCCAGCCAGAGATTTACAGTATCGAATTTTAGGTACCGTAAAAGATGGTGTCGTCTCTCGGTCAACAGGGCGGTGAACATAGATTTTTCCATTCTCATGATCTTCTATAGAAAACAAGCCAATCTCCGGATATCTATCCACACCTGGTCCACTGATTAAATACATCAGTGCCATGTTAACTGACATATTATTGAACAGCTGGAAGGAGGAAAAATTAAGAAAAACAGAATGAGCATAAACCACTTTGCATGTCATTTACTAAGGCCGAGACTCAGAGGCATCAGTGAAGAACCAGACCCAGCAAGAGTGCATGGGAGGGCTTGTCCTAAAGAAATCAGCGGGTCAGCAAAGGTGCAGGAACAAGGGACAAGCTGACTCACAAGCAACATCAATGTGCAACCACATGGAAAGAATCACGTGGCCTGGACCTCCATGCTCCTCCCCAGAAATGGGTGTGGCCCAGGGTTAGGCAGAAGCTGCATGAGGAACAGCAAGCAGAGTGTGACCCATTCTGCTAACACAGACTCCCGTGGTGAAGTTGTAGGGAAGTATCTGAAAGCATGCATACCCGTTTGTGAATTTCGGTTGTCTGGCCAGGGAAAGACAAGTAATAGCCACAGAGCTGACATTTAGGAGAGCTCAGAGTGAGCCCGTGCACTGTATGCCTCACTCATCCTGACTGTAGAACAGCCCTTAACGGAAGCAGGTCATTGACCCTGTTGTACCGGTGAGGAAGCAACAAGGGTCTCTAATAGAGGGAGCGCGTGGTACGTCTGGAACATGTGCTCCAACCCCTGGAAGTCTACACTTTTAACCATTGGGCCTTGAAAACTCCCTGTAGGCCTTGAAAACATCCTGTAGGTTTTATAGTAGGCATATGCTGTTTTTATAAACATTGTGAAAATGAGTTATTCTTAATTATTTTCTAGGAATCAGGCACAGTGGACTCAAGCACTCTGTGTAACTCAGAAGCCCATCATGGCCAGGAAGGTGGTGGAATACATTCTCATGATTTTCCATGAGCCTGGGCCATGTGTAAGAATTCTGGCATTCTGACAGCACCGATGTCTTCTTTGGTGCCTCAGTTGATCCTCAACCTCAGAGTGAGGGAGACAGTAGGGAGTGGTGGGGACTGTGGCATTCTGAGTATCTCAACCCCCATCTAATTGTTGCCATGTGAGAATGGCTCCATGTGGTCAGGTTTTACAATTTTTAAAAAGCTTCTAGAAGACAAAACTTTTAATACAGTCTCCCTATTTTTTTCTACTGTTTTTATTGTGCTAAAATAACAACATAAATTTACTCTCTTAACTGTTTTTCAGTGCACAGTTCAGTGATGTTAAGTACATTCATGTCATTGTGCTGCCGTCAGCACCATCATCTCCAGAACATTTTCATCTTGCAAAAGTGACTGTCCCAATTAAACACTCTCCCATGACACCCTCCCACCACCCCTGGCACCCACAGTTCTACTTTCCTTTTTTATTTTAATCTCACTTTTACCCCCACCCTTCCCCCACAGCTTCTGGTAACCACAATCTCCTTATTTTTAAACTAGTGGCCTGGTGCATGAAATTCATGAACATTAAAAGGGAATTAATTAGAGAAAATACTTTAAAATTGCTATTTGCCCTTTATTTAAAATAGAAATGTCAGAGATGAAAGAAAATTAGTAAAATGTATATGAAAATCTCTCTCCTGTGTGAGGGCACAACAACCATTTGCATATTAGCTCTCTATTAGATAGGATAATGATTTTTTTAAAAAGACTCCACATGGGTTAAATAAATCAGGCCTGCAGACTGGAATTAACCAGCCCATTGACATATGTGACCCTGACTTTCTCAGCGACACTCCCATGGAGAAGTTACCACTCAGGCAGAGGCAGGCATGGGAAGCACAGTCCAGGGCCTCTCTGAGCACCACCTCCCGTCCTCACAGCCACCAGGCTGCCATGACTTCATCCTCCTGCCCGGGGCCCTGCTGACTGGGGGCCAATGTGGCCTTTCCCAGAGGAGGAGCAGCTGCCTTACCTCTCCAACAAATTTGGGAAAGGGTCCGGTGTCTTCCTCCTGCAGCTCCAAGGTGGTGACAACCCATCTCCTCTTGTATCGCCGTAGAGGCCGGTGGCTCTCCGCCTGGAGACGCAGTGACAGGGCTTAGGAGCAAGGCAGTGATGCGGGCAGGTGCTGGCTGGCCCTCCACACATCCTTCCTCCTCCTCACAACAGCTTCTGATGCTTAGAAATGAAACACACCTGTTCTCTTACCAGCCTTGGCATCCTTCCTAAACTGAGAGGCACGGCCACCAGTGACTCCCAGGGTCCATGAGGTCATTTTAGGGGCCACAGAGACAGAGCCTGGGAGACCACTGCCTGTTGTGTGCCTACACCTGGCCTGTGGCAGATATGAAAACAGAATGAGCGGGAACGTTGCTCCTGCTCTGCCTGGAATCACTGAAATCCAGAGCTGATGGGTCTTGACCACCTCTCTCTCTTCTGATCCCCCTGGTAACCCAGAGAGAGCAAGACGTAGGTGCAGCATTAGGGTCAGAGACTTCTCAGGCAAGAGAATACAGGTAGAATTTAACACCGTGGTTTTGTTTGTATTACCTATGTATTTTACAGTTACTGTCCACTTATGACACATGAACCTAGTTTATTGCCACATTAATTTTTATCCAGAAAAATGTACTTTTTAAAAATCCTCACTCAAGGATATTTTTCCATTGCTTTTAAAGTGGAAGGGTAGCAGGAGTGAAAGGGAGAAAGAAACACTGACGTGGGAGAGACACATCAATTGGTTGCCTCCCAATGTGCCCCTACGAGGCCAGGGGTCCAGCTTGCAACCAAGGTACGTACGTGCCCTTGACCAAGAATCAAACCTGGGCCAAATGCTCTAATCACTGTGTAAAATTGTCCAGGGCCAGAAAAATATACTTTTAAAAAAAAAGACCTCATTAGAAAGTGAGTTGATCATGAGAACAAGAGGAGGGACATGATCCTGAGGTGGCCTGAGCATTGGGGTGAGCGCCTGTCTGCAGCCTGTGTGCCACCCCCATGCTGGGAACATTCAGTCCCCTCTGTGCACATTCCACAGAGAAGATGGTGTGGATCGCCTCTGCTGATCTCTGATGCTCACAGCTTGCTCATATTCTAATTAGACATCAACGCCCCACCTGAGACCCTTTGGCAGTCCGATTCTGAAAGCCCACACCAAGTTACGAACTCATTTCTGCCAACCAAACAGCACTTGGGCAGCAGCAGCGCAAACCATGCTGCCTCCCAGGCCAGGGGAGCCGGGTGGGGTCCGTAATGGCGCTGACTTCCAGGCCCACCTGTGTTTGCTTAGCCAGGTCCTTGGTTTCTTGTCGGAGGCAGTTGATAAGACCAACCTTAGAAATGAAAATGACATTGATTAGTAGGGAACATACTGATCAGAATCAGGTAGAAAGGCAAATCATGAAGAATTAGGGGGGGAAAGAACTGCTTTTAGTTGATAAATATAATTTCTTGCTCATGACATCTCAATTTACAATTACCACCTTCCTTATGTAATCACAGGAGAACTGACCAAAGACTTCTGCCCTCCTGTCACCCATGCTGGGGACATGTACAGCCATAAAATGAACAAAGGGGCCACATTGTGTGCTGAGGCCAGGCAGGCGCACTGACATGTGCACATGTGCAATACACCAAGTGTTAATGGGCGGTGGGAAGCTGCGAGGCTTCTTTCTGGGTTTTTTTCCCCCTTTTTTCCCTTTTCTTTTTGGATTTTATCTTACAATCGATAATAATAAAAGCAGAATATGCTAATTAGACTGGACAACCTTCCAGACAAAGCTGGGGCTACAAGGGAAGCCTGGGTCCCAGGTGCCAGAGGAAAACTGGTGCTGGCAGCCTAGGGGAAAGAAGGCCTGCTCTTGCATGAATTTCATGCATTGGGCCTCTAGTACTATCTAATAAAGAGGCAATATGCTAATTGACCTTCACACCGTTACAAAGATGGCAGCGCCCACAGCCACAAGATGGTGGTGCCCAGTCCCCTGAGCCCTGTCAGGGTGGCAGGCATGCAGCAAGGCTGTGCCTGCCCCCAGGCTGGCCTGGCTGCTCCACACACCTGCCTCCAGAGTCCCCCAGTCCCCTCAACCCCCCAGCCGCCCAGAGCCGGCACAACTCAGGAGACCAGGACCGGCCGAGGCTTGAACTGTCAACAGTGGCGGCAGCAGGGGTGTGATGGGGCATCGCCTTCCCCTGATCGCAGGGTCGCCTCCCTCCCCTGAGGCTCCCGGATTGTGAGAGGGGGCAGGCGGGCTGAGGGACCCCCACTCCAGTGCATGAATTTTCATGCACCAGGCCTCTAGTAATCAACAAAATAATAGAACTTGGTACTTTATGTTTACATAATGATTTACATTGAGGATTATGTATTATCCATTCCCTCAAGAAAAACACATGCATACAGTAAAACTGTTGAAATGAAAGACATCTCTGCAGTGTCTGTGAAAACCAACACTAAACGTATGTGTGCATGTATGTGTGAGTGTGTATGCATGTGGGTGTATGTGCATGTGTGAGTGTGTGTGCAGGCATGTGCATTGTATGCATGTGTGCACATTATATGTGTGTATGTATAATCATGTGTGGTTCCAGGTCACCCATTTTCACTGCTGTACAGCAGTCCCCTAGTGAACATGGGCGAGTAGTTTATCTGTTCTCCTGGACATTTAGGTTATTTCCAGTTGTTATTGTTACCAAAAAACAGCCGTGGCGGTAAACATCCACATCCTCTGGAGCAGCCGTTTCCAAAGGATCGCCCACCGGCTGTCTTATCAGAGGCCTCGGGCCAACCACTCAGAACGATCCTGGGTACTTGCAGACTGTACTGCCTGACGTTGGCGCTGAGGGCACAAGGACGCATCTGTGGAAACCACTAGAGCCTCGGCCCCAGGGAAGGCAAAGGCCCCAGACTCCGCTAGCTGTCGTGAATTCTCCATCCCATGCACGGCAGGGGAGAGACAGACAGATGGAAAAGAATTCCAGTGTCGTTGAGGAATAAAGCCATTGGTGCATTCACTTAACTATTGAAATCACTAGAGAAACAGTTGAGCTGGGAAAATTATAACTTATTGCATTGCAGCTCCGGAGTGGGCGTCTTATATGCACCCCGTGGCAGGTGAGGAGTTTGCACAAAGCAGGACTCTTCCCGTGAGCGTGGGCCGCGTCGGGGGGCAGCCCAGGGTGAGGGTTAGTGTGGCTGACGAGGCCACTGTGTCTGTGGAACAGCAGCTTACTTGACAGAATGAGGGGCTGTGGCTGCGCAGGTGGGTGTCTGGTGGGCAGGGAGCAGACTGAGCCCGTCGCTAAAGAAAAACAATGGGCAGTATCATGTTGCTAATAATAAAATGTAAGCTTTCAAGGAAAAAATGGGATTTTGGAAAACATGTGTCTGCTACTATGAACTTGACATCTTGCCCCATACTTAACAGTTTGTCTGATATATCCACGGAGGCATTAATAAATGTGATTTGTAATTGATTTGAGGCACAGAGAGGAAGGGAGAGAGAGAGAAACATCGCTTTGTTGTTCCACTTATTTATGCACTCACCGGTTGCATCTTGTATGTGCCCTGACCAGGGATCGAACCCCCAACCTTGGCATATCGGGATGACACTCTAACCAACCGAGCTACCTGGCCAGGGCAGTGAGTGATTTTGCTAACCTTGTGGAATGTATTATGTCCACCTTTGGAAGGTCTGCCTGATTCAGTAGCCAAGGGTTTCCTAGTGATGGACACATCATGTTCCAAAACCCTGCCAGGGCAGTCATCCAAAGTTAAGAGGCCACCGGTGTCACTGTCACAGTCAGTGCATTCAGATGCATTCATGTCCCATTGCAGCGAGGGGAAAGAAACTGCTGTTGCTGGCCCATGTGGCTCAGTGGGCTGGGCATCATCCTGTGCACCTGCAGGTCACGGTTTGATTCCCGGGCAGAGCACGTGCCTAGGGTTGGGTTGCAGCCTCAATGCCCAGGCAGGGGCATGCAGGAGGCAACCGATTGATGTTTCTCTTTCAACAATGTTTCTCTCTCTCTCTCTCTCTCTCTCTCTCTCTCTCTCTCTCTCTTCCTCTCCCTCTCCCTCTCCCTCTCTCTCCCTTCTTCTCTCTAAAGATCAATTGTAAAAAAAGTAAAAAAAAAAAACCAAAGACCACAAAACTTGTCAAGTTCAAGGCTATTAAACATTCTTCCCTTTGCAGGTAGATATCTGAGTGAGCCAGAATTTCTTCACATGCTCTCACCAGCCACATTCCCGAAGCCAAATGCAGAGTCAAGAGAGCCCATCATCTGCTCCTAAGCCAGACATTCAAGAAATTTGCAAAAATAGGAAACAGGGCCACTACTCAAACTAGATGGAATTTTTAAAAATAGGGTTATTTTTCATAAAATATGTGCTTTATATTGACATGTAATCGGTTTACCTTTTTTTTTTTTATAAACTGAGAAGTGTGTTTACAATTCCCCAGTGAGGACTGGCCACTCAAGCAGAAGCCCTCGGTTTTGTTCTCAGGAGCCTCCCGAGTGCAATGCAGACCTGACCAGGAGCCACAGTGCGGCCCTCACTTCCTGCCGGAGCGACAGGGCCAGGGCGTGGGGCTTCCGGGGAAAATGGTTGTAGATGCGGCAGCTCTCTGCTGAGTGGGTCCCAGTTCCCAATGTGGAGATCAGAGCGGGCAGCAGAAAGCAACGGTGGCCTAGCGCAGTTTCGGCAAGAGCACTCACAACTCGCATGGCAAAAAAGCGGCCAAGAGAATTCTCCCAACGCCACGCAACTTATGCCAAACAAGGCAGCCCTTTCAAGTCCAGTTCCACTGGTGAGTGCCAGAGAGGGGCTTTTCCTGTTTCGTTTACAGTTACACCCCAGTGCTTCCAGAGCAAGTATCCAATAAGTAGTTGTGGCACAGATACGGAATAAATGTCGCCAGCTGTGCCCCCGTGGCTAGGAAAACAGAGATGGAGACATTTGGGCACGGGCACAGCCGAGCCAGCACTGGGCCCCGCCCTTCTGTGCGTTTCCTCATTCACTCCCACAGCCTCAGGTCGGGCAAATTCGGATAACATCTCCCTTTTCAAGGTGAAGAAGATGAGGTTGAACAAGGCTACATTCAAACCCTCCCTGATGCCCGGGCCACACCCCCATATCAGCTCTTACTGGGGATGGCACTGGGAGTTTTACAGCTCCCTGGAAGAGTCCAATCTAGGCCAAGGTGAGGACCAAGGTCAAGTAATTAGCCCAGTTCTGCAGCCAGTCGTGGATGAGCCAGGTAAGGACGGGGAGCAACCCCGTCCAGCCCCACAATCTTTGCCCCCGATGACTGTGTGGCTGCCTGCCCTCCATTGGTGTCTTAAGGGAAAACTCAACAGCAGTAGCCTGGTCACTCTTCCTCCCTCTACAGAAAGCAGGGTAAGCAAATCCCGCCCCCGGCAGGCCTGCGCAGTGCTACCCCACCCACTAGGTACAGATGGAACAGCCTGCTTGCCCGATGTTCATCACACCATTTGTATTGCACTATTTGTATGTATTTTCATTTGAGCAGTGGTAATGGGGGGGGCGGGGGCGGTTGACCTCCACTCCCCGAGGTTTCCTCAAATTGTCACACTCAAACAAGAGACAATAGTCCCAGAATGGAGTCATCCGTGCTCAGTCCTACATCACCAAAGGCTCAATACCGTAATACCTGCAACACTTACTTACAGCCTCTCCCAGGAGTGGACCCTCACGTGCTGGTCCGAACCCTGAGGCCGGCTGCCTGCCCCTAGAGGAAGAACCCTTGCCTCAGTCAGCCCTTTGCCAGCATAACTCCGCTGCCGCTCCCCTGCCTGTAACAGTCCTTCCTTCTGCTCAGCTCCCCGGAGCTCCTGGGAGACAGGTGCTGCCGGTCCAGGAATTGCTCCATAAAACCACTAAGACCTTTAAAATGTGCCCATTTGACTTTTGTTCTTTAACAACCTACACAGTTGAGATGGTCGCCGTCTCGAGTAAAGCGGGAACAGAAGCATCGTTGGAAAACTTTTGTGTTGATATAAACGTAAATAAAGTGGTGTGTGCGGTACAACCCAGTTTTGAATGGAGCCCCCTTAGCCTGGCCCACCATCCTTCAAACAGATCATGACCTGAGCCCGGCTAGATCTCTGCAGCCCGCTCCTGCCGCCTCGCCAGCTCACACCCAGGCTGGTCCCTGACCCAGCACGGAGATCCTAGCAGGCCCTGCGGGTCCCAGCCACTCACCTGTAGCAGCAGCAGCGACAGCAGCAGCTGGAGGAGCAGCAGGGAGGTAGGGGCCCTGGAGCTCATGGCAGCAGGGATGCCGAGACGCCTGAGCCTGAGCCTGCTGGTGGTAGCAAGTCGTCCTGGGCTGTGGTCTCACCCAGCCAGGTACGGTCCTCCCAGCAGGGCCTTCTCCCCAGTCACTGGGTCACTCGGTCCCGGACACTCCCTCATCTCAGGCATCTCAGCCCTCCCCTCCTGGTCCCTGGCCACTCTTGTTGTATCAGGGTGAGGCCAGCTGAGCCTTGACCTCACAAGCAACTAGCAGATTTCCTAGGAAGGGTGTGGAGGAGAAAGAAATTGCCATGGCCACATGCCACACGCCAACACTGCTCCGGACTCGGTCAGAGAAACTGAAACCTGAGAACCTGGGGCATTTGCTTCTTTGTTAGTGTTAAGTTTCCTAGTCAATGCCCCACAATTGACCTCTTTCTTGTAGCGGGGTATTTTAAAGACTAGTTCCTATAGCCCCTCTCCTTTGTAACAAAAGAACTAGAAAAAACTTCAAGAAAAAATAACTTTATTTAGAGGAGAAGAAAAAAGAGAAAGGATAAGAGAAGGAAAGAAAAAAAGAAAGTGAGAGAGAGAGTGAAAGAGAAAGAAAGAAATATTTTTTTTTTCCTGAAGCACTAACCAGCTTCATCCTAACCATGTCTCAGGGTTCTGAGGTTTACATGCATTTTCTACCAAAATCTTTTTTAAGCTTAGAGGGATCTGCCTTTCAGAGTTTGGTATTAAAGACTGAGGGAGGAGAGATGAGAAAGAGACTCCCTGTGGGAGGGTGAGCCCTTGCGTTTTGCATGGGATTCTGGAAAACAGGAGAGTCAGGAATTCTACTGCATCGCTACTTAAGATTGCAGTGGCCAAGCTTGAAAGAAAATCTGAGGTCCATTCACCCTGATTCTCGCAGCATATCACCCTGTTATCACCTGGCCTCATTTAAAATAGCAAACACTTTCTTGAGCAGGTGAAACAGGAGGTAAATTCTCCTACTGTACATCCTTACCTCTGTGAGGTGCTGCCAAACACTGCAATTTGAATAGTTTATTATCTTAGTCCAAATTAATAGCTTATTATTGAAAAGAGTAACCAATGCCATTTTAAGGTCTGTGAATATTTCCTATGCATAAAGAGAAACAGACGAATAATTACTGAATTTATGACTTTCTGCTTATTTTAAAAGTGTATATTTTTATTCCATGGTAGTTTATTAGAAAACTTGATTGAGAATCACAGATACAGAATGTATAGATCAGGCAAGCTAAGCCATGTTGAATGTTTATGGGGGAATACGATGATGAGGATGGTAATACTGAGCAAGAGAGACTGTGTTAACTCCAGAGATGGGGGCACTGGGGAATGCTAGTGAAGGATTCCACTTGTACATTTGCTATAAGTGGAAAGAAAGTGGTATATTAAATACAACCAAGCCCGGCCGGTGTTGCTCAGTGGTTGAGTGTCAATCTATGAACCAGGAGGTCACAGTTCGATTCCCAGTCAGGGCACATGCCCGGGTTTCGGGTTCAAACCCCAGTGTGGGGCATGCAGGAGGCAGCCAATCAATGATTCTCTCATATCATGTTACTTTCTCTCTCTCCCTCGCCTTTCCTCTTTGAACAAATAAAACATTTTAAAATAATATTTTTTAAAAACCACCAAATTGCCCTGACCTGTTTTTCTCAGTAGTTAGAGCGTTGGCCCACAGACTGAAGGGTCCTGGATTTGATTCTGGTCAAGGGCAATTACCTTGGTTGCAGGCTCGATCCCCAGCCCAGGTCGGGCGTGTGCGGGAGGCAGCCAATCAATGTATCTCTCTCACATCGATGTTTCTCTCTGTGTGTCTCTCCTTCTCTCTTCCACTGTTTCTAAAGATCAATGGGAAAAGATCCTCAGGTGAGGATTAACAACAACAACAAAAACAACAAAAACACCCCACCAAATTTTCAACATCCTTAAAAATAACTGAGCAAGAAGCAGTTTCCCACAAGCATCCCTCTCATTTGGACTGTGACCCCTGCAGGTGACTCTGGCTTCCCCGCCTCACGTCTCAGGTGAGAGTGAACTGGAGGAGGCAGGGTTCCCTTTCTGCCCGGAACCTGCGATTCCTTCCGCGGAGGCTGCCTCTGGTCGGTCGGCAGAGGTGCAGTAATGCGCTGCGGCCACCAGGTGGCGGCGCCCGGCTCAGGGTGAGAGGATGGTGGAGATGCGCTGCTGGGAGATGCGTCCAGACTCGCATTCTCAGCTTGGCTGTGGAGGGGTGCCCGGCGACCGCGAGGTCTCTGTTTTTTATGATGGTGAACGAGTCGGGCTGAGAAAGGGTGAGTTTTGTCCTGATAGCCATGTTGACCAAGGTCCTCCCAAACCGCAGAGACTCGCTGACTTTATTTTTTACGGCTGTTGGTCAACACAACGGGAACAGGTTCATTTGCCTCTTTTCAGGGGAAAACATTTCCTGGAAGGTAGGGGCCTTAGAATGAAGAAGCAGTCAAGTCACGATAGCCTAAAAATAAACACACCAGACTCCTCGGGACTCCCCCAAATATGGCAGCACGGATCCTGTACCCCAAACCTGCACGGAGCCTGATCCCAGCCTCCCTTCTCCCACCGCCACCTGGGGCGGGGCCTGGAGGGCAGGGGGCGCCACCTCTT